TCCCAGTGCCACATCTCCTTCTGAGAGTGTGCATGAAAAGCACTTCACTTCCCATAAATTTAAAAGTGTAAAGCAATATTTTTATTCTTTGATAGGATAGCAGGCTCTTTGGATCTGATTTGTCTCCTATACATGAGAGATATCATGTTTTACTTTTCTGGAAAATTACAAGTTGGTTAGAAATTGCACCTTTATTGTTGTAAAAGAGTACATGTAAATGAAAAAACACTGTTTTTTCTTGAGGGAAACGCATGCGATCTTTTGCACTGAAAGTCCATTTCCTCATACTCCTCCCTGCTAAGTTCGGGAGAGGTGGGTCAGAAAGACTCCCTGTGCCAGTCCAGACGGAGTGATAAGTCACCCTCTTCATAAATGTGGTTTTCATTTTATGGTGTCCTGTTGTGTTAAATACTGACTGATGGGTCTTTTGACAAACGCACCAACATGTCATCCAAATAGTAAGAATTTGTTCTCATTTCCAAATCATGCGACAATGGGACAATGACACTGTGATTTATTATAATGCCTCATTTCTTGGCACTCACTTTAGCAATAAGGTGATCTCTGTTTATATGTATTGTGAGAACAACCCCTTTCTGTAGATGTTGAAGCGTGTGTTTATTTTTGTATAATAACTTCAATGTTGTAAGGGGATTTAGCAAAGCTTGCTGTACTACACAGTATTTTGAGATCATATATTACATATAGTTTTTGTTTTGTTTCAGTCATGAAATAGAAAAGACAAAATAAAATAAAATGTTACAAAGCACATAAATAATTTGATACTCAAAAAAAAAAAAGGAACAAATAGTTATCATATCAGCTCTGGATGCTGAAGAGCTGATTCAAAGCTGGGCTCTTTCACTATGTGTGTATTGCACCATACCAGGTATGGAGTTTGTCTATGCTTCAGCCCTTCATCTGTAAGGTGAACAGAATGAGCACATGGGTGGCATAGAATGCGTTTTGCTAAACAAATTCAGGTAAAACAATTAATGACTTTCTGGCATGTATTATGCCTTAATAAATGTTAGTTATAATAATTTATTAATTTATAATGCTAATACAGCAAACAAGTCTTGGTTAGGTCCATGATTTTTTTCACAGGTTTTATTTGCACAGTAATCTAAATAGTTTTAGCACAGATATTACTGTAGGGAAAAAAGAAAAACTCCTGAGTGTTTAAACTATTAGTTGGGGGCTGGGGATTTAGCTCAGCGGCAAAGCGCCTGACTGGCAAGTGCAAGGTCATGAGTTCGGTTCCCGGTACCGGAGAAAAACCAAAAAAAAAATAATAATAATAAACTATTAGTCATTAAAACAATGAATAGTTTTTCTTCTGAGGCAGTGAGGGTCTTAAAAGCATGTTTTGCTAAAAAACAATGACTACTCATATAGACCTACAGGTGCCCAGTAGGTAACTAAAAATAGAGCAAAACTTGGCCTTCATTTATGTATTAAAATTGTGGGTCAAATTCTTACTGTTCATGTAAGGAATGTCTGCTAAAAGTTGTCAAAACAATGTTGATTAGCCCTGAATTTAAAAAAATCTTATCTCATTCACCTTCAAGACTGAGAACAGTAAGAGAAGAGACTCACAAGGGCATTCAGCCATCAGCGACTACCCAAAAATGGCCACTAACCCCCTAACCCTATCATCACTTTGGATTCCAGCAGAGCCTCCACAAATCAGACACTGCCTCAAGCAAAGAAATAGTCTCATAGAGACTGAAAGTTCCCCTGCAAGCAATAAGGACTTCTAGAGCCATCTTGCAAACCACAACTGACATACGGCAAACCACAATCTAGCAAATACTAGCAAACCCACTGAACTTGGCCTTGTTCTTTTGTTAAATGGTCAGATTGATCCTTTTCATCAGAGCTGTATTCTCTTTAGCTCCTCAAGCTATTTAGTCCCTTCCCCATTTTCTCTCACTTTCTAACTCTGCCTAATAAATCTGCCTAGATTTCATTCTGACACATCCCAAAATATTTCTCTGTGATGAGAATCCACAAAACTTCCAAGGGTAAGTTCAGGTTCCTATCTTCTTACTGGGCAGTTCTCATCAGTCCCAGTCCAGTGACAATTTTACTCAATTATTTTTACCTCTGGAAAATCTTCTTAGCAGGGAGAATTATATTTTCATATGACGAGCAAGTAAGTTTTAACTGAGGTTAAGCATCAAAGCTAATGCCACAAATGTAAAATAGGCATGGTAGACATTTCAAGATTATAGCAGTAAGAGTTTGTATATACATGGATATATGCATGTATTATGTATACATGCATGTGCAGAAGTAATTACATATATAATGCCCAATTAACTTGAATTTCATATATACAGGTATAATCTTTTATAGTATAGGTATGTCTCAAATATTGAAATAGTTTCTTGTTTTTGTTCATTTTATATTTAAGTTTAACTGGGTGACAACCAACTTCCACGCTGTCATGAAGAAAGTAAATATGTAAAGAAGTATGTGTTTTAAGGTATCTTAGTCAAAACAAGAATTCATTTTCTATAAATGATTAGAAGCTTTTAATTATCTTACAACTATTAATCAAAATTTAGCAAACACTTTTGATCCAGAAAAGAATAAAATATAAAGGGAAATGTAGGGATTTGCAAATGAATGAATACCAAAAAATAAAAATCCAAGTACTTTTACTTTAAAACAGGGAATAAAGAGCCCAAATTTGAATTATGTCTTAGATAATTCCAGGTGTAAAACCTGTGCATGAGAATAAAAGCACTACCTTTCCCACCAGTTTTAACAGATCTTCATTTCCTTTGAAGTCATCTATGTAAAAGTCTTCATATCAAGAACATTTTGTAATTATTCAGGGGCAATTACCTCTCATGTATTTAAACCTGACAGGGCATTATCAGAAAGTTTTGTAATAAATCTACAATGTAAAATAAAATGAAAAACAGTATTAGTTGTAAAAAAAATTATAGTTAATGTTTCAAAGAGAAAAAAGGAAAACTGGAAATTTCACTGAACAAGTGTTACAATTCTGAACAACCTTTGCACTGTTAAAATTATCATTGCAAAGACGGTGTATTCAGCGAATGCCTTCACACAATTTATCATTTCATGGAAGTATAAAATGTGTATCTCTTTTCTGCAAATATTTCTTTGTTATTTATGCACAAAATTATTGGCTTGAGAGCTGAATTTTAAAATAAACAAATGTATCGTTTATTCCCAAGGAATCTGAGACAAAGAATAAAGGTAAATAAACTTTAAAACAAGTACAGTCTCTTAGAGCCCTGTAAACAGACAATGGAATTTAGATCTTGTTAAATAGACTAAGCTTTTTCAAAGTTGGAACATTTTGATTAACGTTTTTGTCTAGGCCCTGGCATTAATAATGGAAGTAGTAAATATAGGAAAGAAATATTTTGTGACAAATGCTTTGTGACAAATTTCCTATGAAAGTAACCCGTAGCTAAAGACATGAGTCTGTAATTCACATATTATTTTCTTTTTTAGTATAAAATTATAGTTGTATAGTTCCACATACTAGTGCAATAAATTTCACCTCCTGTTGATACACGTACTTAGAATAATGGGCTGCTAAAGCGCTGCTTTATTTGCTCTGTGCTACATTTTCCTATTTGCAAAAGGAAAAGTATGTTTCCAAGTTGCTTTTTAAACTAACAGAAATTATCATGGCTCTACTTTCTAAGAATTTATCTTATATATTTGAAAGGATGGTCTTAAGTGGAAAATACACTAAACATCCATTGTCTCCTTTTGGAGGACAATATTTGCAATTGAAACCTCTGAAGAAAAAAAATTTACTTATATATTACTTAAATTTAGGTTTTGCTGTTTGTATTTTGAAGCAGCTCTCAGATAAAAATACCTATCACATCCCATCACGTGGATCTAGTGGGCATTAGAATCATAATCTTTAAGTAAATTATCTTTTAAATGCACTGGTCAAGATTCCTTAGCAGAAACCAGATGCCAAAATTTTGAGTGATGTGGTGTGATTTTAAAAAGAGGCAAACTTCGTTTCTTTCTGAAGTCCAAAATTAAATCTCCACTCCTCTGTCTTTTTCTAATAAGAAGTGGTCACCAACCTTAATAAAAACTGGAAATTATTGTTTCATTGTAAATTTCACTTCTTTTCATCTGTTTAACAGGGACCAGGAGCAACACAACATTATAAAGATTAATTACTATTTTTTTTTCAATTTTCTTTTTTCTTTTTATTCTATGTTAGCATCTCTGTGTGATACATAATGCGTACACTCCTTCTGAGGAACTGGTACATGCACACAGCACATCTTCATTCCTTCCTCACCTCCTTCCTTCCCCCAGCTCTGGATGGCCTTCCTTTTGTACATACTTGCAGTACATACTGTTAATTTTATGTGATACAATAATAGAATAATTAAACATGGGAGTACAAGGTAAGTATCAGTTATCAGTTGTACAGACAGCAACTGATGCTGTTCAGATAAGACATTTAAAGTCAATCAGATGTGGAAAACCAAACCAATCTCCAGGTAGTATGTGACCAAAGTGACAGGCTGATGTAAAATTTACCTTTTAAAAAGAATAGCTTTTGTTACATCTTTGAAACTGCAAGTATTCTTGAATTTTTTCTAGAACCTATACAATTATTAGACTCTGAGTCCTTTTAGAAAAAATTAAGACACGTAAGAATATTCTAAAATATTATTGATTGTATTGTAACAGGTGCATGTATATATCCTATAGGAACATGTAATAGACTATATTATAAATAGGAAAGATAACAATTAAATCTTATTATGGCTATCAATACAAGTTCCTGATGTAAAAGTAGCCTAAGTATTTGAAAAACTCAAAATAAATACACTTCAGTGAATATCAAAAATAGACTTTAATAATGGGAAATAAGCACATACAAGAAGGTATTTCACATATCACTGTCTAAACTCCACTTATAGCTTCATTAAGTTCCTCATGTAAATATCTGGCAAAAACACAGCTGCACGCTCTTATTTTTTAAAAACATTAACTCATTTTTATTGAGTATAATTGATAAAATCATATATATTTAAGGTGTACAACATCATGTTTTAAGACACATATACAATGTGAAATGATTACTACATTCAAGCAAATTAACATATTCATCACCTTACACACTTCTAGCAATTCCTAACTTGTTCCACTAGCAAAAATTTAAAAAAGACTATTAAAAAAGAAAAAATATATTCATGTTGTCACTACCAGAGACAGATTAAAACAATTATGTGAACACCATTCTAGACAATTTGTTGACATCTCTATACATCAATACACTCTTTAAAACAAAATTTGGCAATGCCATATGTTCTGTTTTGTATAAGATTTCCAAATGTTAATTTACTTGATTTTTTTGTAGTAACTACACACACACACACACACCTACTACATTTATATATTACCTCTAAAAGTAAAACAGTAACTGATGTCTATGTGTAGGACTCAGAGGACATCTCGAGGTCAGCCTCCAAATAAGCATTTTATTCTGATGTCACTACTACAGATTTGAAATATTAAGAGACAGAACTTTCCATTAAAGTTAACAGTACAATATAAAATGTGGGCTTTTTTTCAGAAAGAGAAAAAGGCAAAGTTTCTCAAAGCATTTAGGTTCATTTGAAAGCACACTCCCTGTCCCTTACCAAGGGCACCCCACACACAAACACACACATGCGAAGACTACGAGGTTGGTTTTGTTGAATGAAAGAGATTTTAAGATAAGCGTAAGACTATACAGAACATTTTACCAAAACTACCTTAAATATTTTTCCACAGTAGTCAGAGAGGCACTTCCCCCAAATGTTCAATCCGAGCACTTCGTTATCCCAAGTCAACTATTCCCCCTTCTAGAAAATAGAAATCACTACTACTATTTGAGTCACTGCTTTTGTGTCTTTTCCTATGAACTCTCAGTTGAAACTGGACTTGCAGGGCCATTGGGAGAATGTTCTGGCCTCTCTGAACTGATTGTGGATTTAGAACCTTCTGCTTCTTTGCTTCCATCTTGGGTCTGATCTGGGGCACCGGTTGAACTGACACAATTAGCATCCTGCTTTGCTTGGTCCACTTCATTATCAAATTCAATTTTATCTTCTTGCTTGCTGCTTTTCTTTACTTGTCCATTCTGAGCAGGATAGGTGCTGGCAATGATGTCATAGAGGAATTCATATTGCTCCTGGAAAAGGAAAGCAGCCAGGAGTTACATAAAGACAGTTGATGTAGTCATTTTTATGTCAGAAGAAAATAAGCAAGAATTAATCATTTACTTGTGGAAGTCTAGAAACAAAAATATTCTCTGATACGGTCTCATGAAGGATTGTCTTTTCAGATCTAGGGACCAAACCCAGGGCCATAAGCATGCTAGGCAAGAGCTCTACCATGAACTCTATCCCCAGTTCTTCTGAAGAACATTCTAAATGATGCAGATCTTTCAAGCTGTAAGGGTGCTTTATAGGATTGACCTTAGATAAGTCAGGCATGGTGGTGAGTGCCTGTAATCTCAGCACTCTGGACACTGAAGCAGGAGGATTGCTATGAGTTTGAGGCCAACCTGGGCTACATAGTGAGTTCAAGGCCTGGTTGAAGTACATAACTAAACCCTGTCTCAAAAAAAAAATTGACCTCAGCAACACCAAACAGATGTTCCCATCCCACCGAATACACACTACATAATCACTCAGCTGTGGGCTTTTTCCCATGACACCAATTCTATGCTTATCTTCTTGGCTGATACCCACATATCACTGAAACATGAGAGCAGAAGCCATCTGCTTTCATCCCCTCGGTTAAATGAAATGCCCTTGCTCGTGTTCCTCACAGTAAACGCCGACTGTCTTAGTGGCAAGAGCACCGAGAAGATGCTTGACACAACTTTTAAATCAATATAGGTGAATTCAATATCCTACATGCTTCAAGGCATTTTAATTTTAGTGAGCGGTTAAGTTTCTATCATGAATATTTGCTAGTTTCTAAATGAGCACCTACAGTTATTGCCAGGAAGAGAGGATATATGGTTGATACAGAAATGCAATTGATTATTCTCCTCATGTGCACAGGTTTCCACAATGTGCCTGATGCCCTTCTCAACAGAGAGGAGTCAGGGCTGGGGATTTAGCTCAGCAGCACAGTGCCTGCCTGGCAAGTGCAAGGTCATGAGTTCGATTCCTGATACCAGAAAAAAAAAAAAATCAACAGAAAGGAGTTTATTTCTCCACCACTTGGAGAGGAGCTAGCCTCTTGACTTGCTTGGTAAAATCGAAGGGAAGATGTTTTAGTTTTGAGCCTGGGGCTCAAAAGCTCACCCACATGCCTGTTTACCCACATGGCACTCTGCCACCTTATATGAAGAAGTCTAGCATAGCCTTCTAGAGGAGGAGAGATGTGTTCCATTAATCCTTATTGCTGCTAGGCATGGTGGCACACCCCTGTAATCTCAGCACTAGAGAGGCTGAGGCATGAGGATCTCTGCAAGTTCAAAAGCAGCCTGGGCTACAAAGTGAGGTTTTTTGTTTTTTGTTTTTTGTTTTTTTTTTTGGTACTGGGAATCAAACTCAGGACCCTGTGCCTTCCAGGCAGGCGCTTGTATAAAGTGAGATCAAGGCCAGCCTGAACAGCATAGCGAGAACCTCTCTCTCAAAAAAAAAAAAAAATCCTTATTGCTATACTAAATGACAGTCAACTCCAGCCTACTAGCAGTGGAGGTCATGTTGAGCTAGCCAAACCCCTTGTGGATTCATCAGGTGATAGTAGACATTTGCGTTAAGGTGATCTTGACTGGCTGAGTCTGAGATGATCAATAGAAGAGAAAGAATAGCAGCAAAAGGAAGGGAAAGGGAATAGAAATAAAGAGAGAGAAAACTAGCAAATCAAAATGAGAAGCACTTAAAAAGTAAGGATGTGGAATACTTACATATGTGGAAACCATTCCTGGCCTAGCTTTGCGTAAAGACTTTACTACTTGAAAAACATCTACTACTTCTTCTGTTTCCGCACTTTCCATGAGATTTAGCAAAGCACAGAATACTCCTGTTTGTTCAGATCCATCTCTACAAAAGAAAAAATGATGAAAGAAGAAATATTTCCACAGTTTCATAACGCTATAGCATTAAAACTGAAAAATAAAATTTTTTCATGTTACTGCAATTATCTAATTTCTTTTTAAAATTTCTTTTTTGTTAATATATATTTGTAGTATGTAGTGATCACGTTCATCGTGGGGATTTGCACATATGCATAACACATCTTCATTCTTTTGCTTTGCTCCCCTTTCCTCCCCTCAGTCCAACTCTTCTTTTATGCATTTGCAAATGCTCTATTTCCATTTATTTCCCTTCAATTCTATTTTTTCTTTAAATCTTCCTTCCCTCCCCCATTTGTTACTCTCCTTCCCATTTGAAAAATTCTTCTTACTTGCTAATGTCTGTTCTCCATGTTAATCTTTATTTTCTGCTAAATCTAGTTTTGGCAACATGAACTTTTTCAATTTAGGATTATAACAATCCTATAATTAAAAAGCATATTTTTATTGGAGCATAAAAATGACAAGATATGCCATATATATATATATAACCAAAACAACTATAATTATTATGTATCAAAAACATATACCAATATGATTTATCAAACTATGAAAGGTATAAAACAGATTCAAGTTAAACATATGCTATCGTAAGACAGCATATTATATGCAACTAAAGAACATATAGTAGATATTTAGCTGTATCCTAAGAAACACAAAAAACCCTAAAATTCCCCTCACCATTCTTCCCACATAAATTCCACTTTAGTCAATTCAAATAAATATTGGAAAGAAGTATTTCTGTAAGGACTTTTTTCTGGTATATGTAATTGCAATAATACTGAAGCTTTATGAAAAATTCTAAAACAATTTCACTAGATTTACATTTCTCACTTTGTTTTTTTACTTGTCATTTAATATTCTTTTTCATGTAAAATTTTAATATTATTTCTTTTTTGTTCAATATTTCTGACTTAGGTAGATATGTAGGTATGCAGTACAGGTAAAATTTAAAAATCTGTGCAAGAGAAACTAATACAAATGAAATATTTGTGACACTAAAATCTTTGCTTTTGAGGTTTAGAAAATCGATTGATGGGCTTAGAAATCAAAGTTGGTAAGCATTAAGATTCCCATTAACATTGAATTTAAGGTCTGTTTATTGAAGGCAGAGCATGCAGTTTTGTAGATTCTGTAACGCCAAGTAGAATGGACCAATGTGGAGAAGCACAGATTTGGTATTCAACTTGGCTGAATAAAGAGGAGTCACATTAGAGCTACTGAGAGAAAATCAGCTAAATACGCAAGTAATTGGAAAAAAGGGAGGGATGTACATGCTGATGCCAAAATTAATCTGAAATAAGAGACTTGTAGATCAAACAAAACATAGACATAGGAATTTATAAAATGGCAAAGCAACCCACAGGGCTTCCTGTGGGTCTACCACATGTACATGAAGCAGAAATCACTATTCTGGGAATTTCCCCCAAAAAAACTGATTGACTGTAATCATATGGCAAACTCAAGCCACACATTCTGGCTTCCTCCAGACAGAGGACATTGCAGCCTGGCAGCAAATTTTGCTGGCACACACAAGGATGAGTGACCAGGAAGCTTCTCCTTCCCATGGGCCAGTTTTTCTTGTTTCCCTCCCCAGTTTTTCTTTTCCTTTTTCTTCTTTGTCCTTTTCTTTCTTTCTTTCTTTCTTTCTTTCTTTCTTTCTTTCTTTCTTTCTTTCTTTCTTTCTTTCTTTTTCTTTCTTTCTTTCTTTCTTTCTTTCTTTCTTTCTTTCTTTCTTTCTTTCTTTCTTTCCTTCTTTCTTCCCTTT